GGCCTCCAACCTAAGAGCGCGATGGCCTCCAACCTAAGAGCGCGATGGCCTCCAACCTAAGAGCGCGATGGCCTCCAACCTAAGAGCGCGATGGCCTCCAACTTAATAGCGATGGCCTCCAACCTAAGAGCGATGGCATCTAAGCAAGAAACTCCTTGACATTCATTCATTTTCGTGATCGTTGCACAGCGCCTCTGTGGAGGTGGGACCACTCGAGTTCTTCACTGGCCAGTAGATCATAAGATTATAGGTATGAGGGAGACGAGTGATAAGACCCTGCAGGCTTTGGTGCATTTTTTCCGGGTGATTGTGGACCCGCAGCCATATCTGAATCTCAGACCTTTTGTTGCTCGTCCCTGTGACAGGTGAAAGCGCCCACGGCTGCAACCTCTGGCCAAATGACTGGAAGAGTGGATCGAAGTTTGCGAGGACTGCGAAGGAGGCATCGTCGCATCCTTCCAAACCATTGGTTGTTCAAACCAAAAGAAGATGCAGAAAAAGGGCATGAAAAATGGAAGCGCAAATGGATCGAACACTCTTCCATAGGAATAATGAATCGAATGAATCATGACAATTTGAGTTCTTTCTGCCAAGCTTTCTGCGGGTCGTGCAGATGTCACATTTTCGGGCACTGTAAATGAGATCAACGCAATGGCGAGTTGAGGAGGTTCTTGCTGTGGTGAAACCTCAAATGGAACAGACACTAGGGGCATACCCATAATTCTCGGCAGTCCATTTTCACCCCCTGAAAAACTTATGATCCGACTGTGGTTCGGCGAAAGAGACACGATTACAGAGCCCGTGCCCGTGTTTGCAAGAAATTGGTGTAGTTAGTGAGTTATGGCGATTCAACCAGCGGCCCGAACGCGCATCGTGGGACCGACTTGCGATTCGTGCGATCGGTGGCGACCGCGCCGACGCCGCTGACTGCTTCATGCAAAGTGCATCCGTGAAGCGAAATTGCGGAAGAGCTGAAAGCTGTGGAGGTCATGAAGCGACCAGGTTGCCCTTGACGAGGTTGGTTTATTCTGGGTTTAATACCTTCTTGAGATAAAGACACATATTAAATACGTAATATATATATATGTATGTATAAATGTGCATGTATTACTGTATGTTTGAGCGGGTGTCCCGTGCTGTCCCTCAGCCTCACATTTCCCATTGGGAGATATTGCTGACTGTGCTTAGCTGCCTTAGCTGTGTCACCAGAAACTTGATAACTAGACCTTTCAGGTCTGCTTCTCGCATCAAACCCGACAAATCGCCGTCGACAGCGACGAAGACAACACAGTCCAGGCTGCCCGCAGAAATACGTGTGCACGAATGCTCGGCCAAGCTGTGCGCAGCATTGTCCATAGTAGGAGCACCCATAGCCGGTCCAGGCCGTCCAAGGCAAACAGAAAGCCAGTCAAGAAAGACCTTTATATAAATCATTGGGGACCACCAGCAGATCACCATAATCTTCCTGTAAATCATATTTGGATTGGCCCTCGTAATCTTTGCGTTGTATCCAGTCGTCCTGTGAATTCGTGTCGGGTGCTCCATGGAATTGAATTGCACAAAGTTCGACCCTGAACTTTGCTCGCATCATCCAGATGGAGCTAGAAATGGCTGTGCCTTTCAAGAGCTTTCGGGAGGAGACAGGAGGTGGTTGCTGCAAGTAGACACCTTTCTATTGCAGTTCCTAAGTTTATATACATGTGTTGTATATTGGCACACTCAGAAGACAAGCCATAGCCAAATCCAATTTTTACAGGCAATATGCCGTTCATTATGACAATCCTTTATATAGTTTTCAACCTTTGTGTAAGAGGGAAGTGTTGATGTTCACAAACGCCAATCCGAAGTCTGTGGGTTGTCTTGGTCAGCAGAGTTCGGCTCAAAGGCAGCACGAGTGTGCTGCAGCAGGGATCTGCCTATATCAATAAAAACAAACAACTCCGGCATTTGCAGCAAAAAGCTTTCTTTGTCCCAACATGTTATTGCCGAACAGTTCAACACTGTTAGAAGCTTGCAAACCCCGACGACTTCCACAACATTGTTCTCCACCAAGTTACTTTTCATCGATTATATATATATATATATCAGTCTTCCATGCATGCCGTTTGTGTACAACGCCAGAGACATTAGCATTGAGTTTAGACCAAGACAGGGGCGAGACCCTCTACCTTCGGCACAGCATGTTTTGATCCAAATTCAGTTGAGGGAGGAGGAGGCATTTGTTCCATCACAATGTTCGTTTCCTTGTACTATGTTACGATGGTGACCCAGATGGACAGAAGTATTTGCCAACATTGTTTTGTAAGGGAACGCGTTTCTTTTGGGGGCTGTGAGTTTGGAGCCACAGCATAGAACTTCTTTGACAGGTTGGAACCGCGCCTTTCGTGGGTGCCATTGTTTAATGGACAAGAGATTTGTCGTCACAGATGCCGCATGGCTACCTGGCTTGAGGAGGAGTCCTGCAGATGTTGTTTTCGCAACAACATGTCACAGAACGGCTACCTGGCAAGCTGAAAGCAAACTCAGAAGGGCCCTCAACAGCTTGTGCGTTTAGCTCTGCACTGAGAACGATCCAACAACTCACCGGGCTTGCTCCACCATAATATATCACCATACCTAAGGAAGGTGGCAGAGTAAGCTGGCATGGCATCACAAAGGTAGGTGTCGCCACTACTAGAGGAACCTCCACGAACTCCCACAGCCTGGTAGTGGCCAGAAGTTGGTGCTTTGCCAACAAACACTTGAAGTGGGTGGCGACCATCCCAACAGATCTCATCCCAGTTGTGGGTCAAAACTCGGCCCGTCAGGTGCAGCAAACTGTTTGTTTTATATTTGCCCAAGCAGAATGGATCTTCATTGATCTTCCAGTTGAACATCTTTGTAAGGCACACCATGGCCTCTGTCCTGCATGTAAATAGCGGAGGACAGTAAGCTGAGCGTCGATGGCGGGCCAAGGCTGGGATGCGAAACATGGATGGCCTGAGGGATGATGTTGTTTGTTATATAAACTATTACAAAGCATTCTTCACATTTTGTTCTAGAAACATCCACGGTCCACCATGTACTACTTACCGAGATGAACGCTTGCAGGAAGCCTTTCCAAGGTGGTTGCCAACCCACACAATTTTGGCTCAACATCTTGAAAAGGACCTCCCCCCCAACAACCACCGGTTCACACTTTATCATCTTCGGTCTTGCCCCACCTCCCCCACCGCTGCACACGGCCAGACGGCGCCGACGTGACCTTCGAGGCCTTGCAGCTGGTGGCACTGGCGACGGAGCTGATGCCCTTCGGAGTGCCATCGCCCAGGGTGGCACAGCGCGACAGCGCCGCGACAGCGCCGGCATGGTCCACACACGAGGACAAGACGTAGACTCCACCGCCGTGGGGAGTACTCTGGTGACCTGGTCATCCATGGTTTTGGCTTTACCAACGAAGCACCATCCCAGCCATCCCTGGTCATTGTGTAGTCATGATATGTAATGATTGCTTTCAACCAACGAATAGGTGCGGTGCAGATCAAACCTCCCCAAAGCATGGATCGGTGAAAAATCACGCAGCACTCCTGCATAGCTCTCGCACAATCTCGTTGCGACCTTTCTGAGCCATGCGTGACTCAGCCCTGTTGTATCAAAACTGGGCAGCTCAGGAGGACAATAGATAGGTCAGAAAGGTTGCCTCCAAACTGGTGACTGCAAGACCTCCTGTTCTTCCTAAGGAACCGTTTTGTGAAAGTAGATGAACAACACCCTAGTATTGAGAGACACTCTAAACCAGCAGCCATTGGCTGGTTTCAACTGCCCCACTTCGATGAGGTCACTGCTGCCAAGCTGCGGGACTGCGCGCGGGCGAAGCGGCTGCAGGGTGCCAAAAACCTGACCACTGCGGGTGGCAATGCAGAACACCAAGGGGTGCTGAAGGTGGGGAGACGCCGCACGGAAATCTGGAGCACTGGTGAGTGGCTGGAGAGCTGGGATGGGGGGTGAATGCTTTGTGGAGGATGGAGTTGGTTTTTGCAGGTCCTGGTTGATAGCCCCCCTTCAGAAGGCATGCAGAGGTTTGTGATTTGTTTCTTCAGGAATCGAGGTGCGTAGTGACGTGGGAACGATCGATCGTCCCAAGTCTGGTGAATGCTGGGGGCACAATGCCGCAGCTGTCTTGGATTGATGGTGCCGGGTGTACGTATGAGCTCTGTGAGGGCTCTGAGAAGAAGCAGCGCCCATGCGAATCGAGGCCATGTCAGGTGCTACAGTGGCGGAACTTCATGAGGAGCAGCTACAGGCAATAGTGGAAAGAGAGAAACCTGTCAGGGCCTTGAAAGAGTTCCTCGCAACCCAACTTGGTTTGCCCAGGTTTCGACAGAGGCTCCTCACCGAGGAAACAGGGGAGTTGCACGATGATGCTCCTCTGCCTCTTCCTTCAAAGTTGCAGCTGGTGATTTTAAACTTTCAGTTTCCTGATGCAGTCACTGACGGGGCTTTTCTTTCTGCATGCGCCGAGAATCATTTGGAGGAAGTTGAACGAATGCTTCAGTGCACACAAGATCCGACCACCAGAGATAGAAAGCATGGTGCCACAGCTTTGCATGTAGCAGCTAAAAATGGCCATGCAGAAGTAGTCCGATTGCTGCTGGAGGCTGGCGCCGAAAAGGAGGCCGCTGAAACACGGCGTGGTAGGACAGCTTTGCAAATGGCAGCTCGGAATGGCCACGTGCAAGTGGTTGAAGTGCTTCTGGGGCCCCGGTCTGACAAGGACGCTGCACAAACACAACATAATAGTGCAGCTTTGCACTTGGCCGCCCAGAATGGCCACGCACAAGTCGTTCGAGCGCTTCTGGAGGCCGGTGC